AATTCCGATTCAATTAACACATCTTGATATGAAAAAACTTCTTTTATGAAAGCATTCAGCAATAACATACATAATCGTGATTTGTATATGTTTCAGGATTTTGCTTAAAAATTTTGGCTATTTCACGTATTGTAGCTATTGATATTGCATTCATCTACATTAACCCAATGCATTCTCTCCAAAATATGTTTAATGTTGTAATGAAATTGTTATTTTTTAAAAAGTGATCACGGATGTAGTATCTGAAAGCAGGCCGTAAGTGCTATTTTTTCTGAAATAATAGAGAAAATTTGAGTTGATATTATCACACTACACAAATGACATATGTACGTATAATTACAATAAAATAATCATCGACTTTGATATTGTTATAACGGAACAATAATATTACAGTTTTACTGTATTCAAAATCACATGTATGATCACTTAAAAAATGCATGCGTGATCTGCTATATGATAATCTGATTGTTTGTATAAACTATAAAAAGGTAGAATATACGATTATTTTTTACTAAAAAAATTTTTCGTCCTATCCAAAAACTAAATACGTAAATAACCATGTCTACTGCCAAAAAAAAGTTCCTCTTCCTACAATTAATGAAGTTGAAGGATGTAATACAACAGAGGATCTGATAAATCTTTTACGCAAGCAAGACTTAGGACTGGATAATAACGATTTTAAAATTATTTATAAATGAAAAATTATGGGTCAGAATTTCCTTAAGTTAAATGTGAATAAACTAATGCAAGATGGTTTAGAACGAGGTCTAGCTGAAACAATTGCAAAACTTATTGAAAAAATTAAAGGCGAAGGGCAGAGTAAATAGTACTATGACTGCATTCGAAGACACAAAGTGTCGAGTCTCTGACTCATATTCCAAATCTATACTGTTTTCTCTACAATAATTTTATTTATTAACTTGAGCCTCATATTTATTATACAGGTACGGATGCAAAAGATTAGAAAATAAAAGAATTGGAAGAAAAACTAATAACACTTCAGCAAGAGAAGTTGTAAGAGAATCTATTCATAGTATGCAAACTATTATGTAGAGTGCCTCTGATACAACTAATAACGTTTGCAATGCAGATCTTCATCAGCTACTAAGTGATATTTTTTCGAAGTGGATAATTATGAAAAAGGTTGGTTGTATAATGTATATCTGCGTCTGTAGAATTTTGTAAACTCAACTATTTTTTCAATCTGTCCAGAACAAGAAAAAAACATAAAAAAGATTTGGAGTTACCTTCCCCCATCATCCTTTGCACTTCTTGGTAATCTTATTAAATATCATGTTAAGGATAAGCAGTTACTTATTCATCGTCCTCCAGAATGTATTAGCCTATCGGTACAAGTTTACCACGATGTTTTTAATTAGTTCCTGTGTGATTATCATAACGAAGATCTAGAAATAGAAAAAAAACATTATTAATGGGCTCTTAAGTTTATTCATAAAATGGCAGACATATATCCTAGTGAACATGAGCATTCTAAAAATTTTAAAGAAAAATTTCGACAATTATTTGGTGAAGAATTAAAAATAATTTGTCTAGATGATGAATCTTCAAATGATAGTGTATTGGAATGTAATTTCCATTCATTTAGTGTATTATGCCTACTTGCTAAGATAAAGAATAAAATTAGCACCAGTAAATGTGATCCGACTACCAAGGCTGAGACTTCTTATGCGAAATATTATACACAAGAAAAAAATGAGGAATTGCTCAAATGGTGCAACTGGCCGTCTTTTATCTTATACTTAGCTAGACCTTGGATGTGTGTTTTAGGAGCAGTGTATGTTGAAAAACCCATTATAGATCCCTTAACGGACCTCATACCTCTCATTTCTACAAATATTCAAGATCATGCAAAGTGAGTGGTACAACTATTCAAAGCTTTGTGTTTGGGGGTTAATAGGCTAAAGGAGTATTATGGATCGATAGCAAATCCACAAAATTCACAATAGTTTTTTCCTTATCTAAATCAATACAAACAACAAGATACAACTATAGAATTTACATATGAAAAAAGCTTGTAGATCAGCCAGACAAGCTTTTTTGGAATGCTATAACAAAGGGTGGGAGGGAACTTGTTGTTAAATTCACGTGGCGTTATAATCAGAGAGCACACAAGTTGTGTAGCGAAATTGGAAAAGTGCCAAAATTACTCTATATTAGCAAAGAGGTAGTGTATAGTTTTTATATAGTCATGATAGATTATGTTAAGGCCAAGCCACTTTACAACTGCAATAATTCGCTTAGTCATGATGAATGTAAAACGGTTTTCGAGGATATTGAAGAAGCTATCAGCAAATTGTATAAGAAAAATATTGTTTTTGCTGACCTCCGTGATTCCAATATCTTGGTTAACAAATCTCAAGATCAATATCAAGAAATGTTAATAGATTTTGATTGGGCTAGTGAGAAAGGAATTGAGTGCTATCCATCTTCCATGAATGAAGATATTAATTGGCCACTAGGAGCTGAGGATAGGAAGAAACTGAGTCAGGAACATGATATGTATTGGTTGAAGTTATTGAAATCTAATTACTTAGGTGAAAGTGTAGAGCTCGAATGATTAGTTAGCATAGTATTTGAGGATAAAGTAGAAAACAAACAACTATGCTAACAAGCTATGCATATATTCAATATAATTTGTTTTTAATGATATAATAATAAATGAATCCTTGGATTAATCATATTCATACGTTTTGGAAATAATATGTACATATCTCTCTTGCCTTGGCCTACGGGAATTAAAATATTCATTACCTGTTCCATTGATTATCATGAATTTCTGCTGAAAATTTCAGTGTTTTCGATTTATTACCAAGAGGTCAATAAAATTTACATTAAGTTTTTAGCAACATGGTACGTAGTACCTGCGATAGAATTTGTTCATTTTTACTTTTATTCTGTATCAATAAAGCCGACTAGTAGCTCAGTTTCACATATATAATTGTGTTTACT